TATTTTAAAACATCCACACGCCTACGGTACTAAACATGAGTGGGAAAATACATATTAGAGAACGAAAACTTATAAATAAACTCACAATAAAGAAAAATGTTTACCTTAATGGTGCATAGCTTTACAGGCAAGAAACGAAAACGAAGACGCTGCTTCTTACACAGGACTAAATTCATACGCAAAACCTGACAAATCACTCCATGTGATTACGTAACATTACGCAACGGTGCAAACTTCAACCATAAGTACACAACACAACTAATGAAATGTACAAAACCTCACATGTAATTGACACGAAAACGCAACACACACAGGAAACGGAATGACAATAAGTTTGGCGATAACAGCATGTGAAATGGGCGTCACCTCCCTCGATGTTTTGGCCTACTTTTTGTTACTTCAATTTATGTATTTTTTCTTTTGGAGATAAAAAAAAAACAAATGTTCATTTGCTCTCGTTTTCTTCTTGAAAGCCTTACCCGATTTTTAAATCTTAAAAACCCTAATAGCAAACTCTACTGAAATCCGTTCTCAGACCAAAAGGGCTCTAGTTCATACCCCCTTAGAAGACACATGCCTTTTTGGACGGCCCATATCTACAAAGGTTATAATTTTGTAAGGGAGGTTATTTACTTCCCCGAAATCCTGCCACCTTGAGCGAGGTTTGCTCCCTCAACCCTAATTTCTAATCTAATTTCTCCTTACAATATCCCCCCCCCCTGAATCACACATTAAGGTAACTCAAATAAAGGAACTGATCATCAACTGAAGAAGCTCTTGATTGTTAAACAAATTCTCCTTGTCGGCACTATAGGAAATGTATGGAGACCAGTATGGAGAATATACATACTGGTGTTAGGAAGCGAAGGGTTAACTCATTCAAGTTGCCTCTCGTAAGACCCCCGTACAACGCTGGCCCAAAGAAAAACAAATCTTAGCTCAGAAAATTTGCTAGAGCTAGGGGTTCGAACCTACATTAAATTCTTCCAGGACAAAATTACACGTCTACGTCAAAGACGGGAGAAAATTTCAAAGGTTACCTCCGTTCCTTGGTTGCACAGATTCCACGTCATCATATAATTCTTCAGTGTCGTCATATATTTCCTCAGTGTCCTCATATTTGTCATCTAAAATTCAGAGTTAGATGATCAAATTCACGACGAATGAGTTGTTCAATCAGGTAATTATTTTTTCTATTTTTTTTCTTTTAACTAGGAGGGCCCTCAGTATGAAAATGATTAGGATCTCCATCTTCTTTCGGGACTAGTCATCCTGTTTGGCATGGGGACAGATCATAATAAGATGAAAGGCTGAGATAAACATAAAGCTACCAGAAATTCGCCATGCCCACCTTCATTAGAATATTAACACGGCCATGAACTAAGTTTGAACTTGCGTCACAACAGAAGTATTATCGCCTATAATAGTGAGATTTTGTAATATCCGAAACAAAACTGATTTATAACCCGCCTGTTGTGATTCCCAACATTTGGCTTGCACTCTATGACGTCATCCGCGTGCGGTTAGGCTACTGAGTTGCTTTCAAAATGGCGGGGTCTGTAGCCGGTTTAAACATAATTCTCGGCAGAGCTCAGGTAGCCGTTTGTAAACTCGAACCACGAGGGTAAGAAATTTAAGTTGTATGCTTTTTCATTGGATTTCTAGAGCGTACATCTTCTTCGAAAAGGGCTGAAATTACATCTACGCATCCGATAGTTAGACAATATTTACATTTTCAGCCTACCTTTAGTGGATGCCTGAATCGAAGTGGTTAGGCATTTTGATAAAACGATCTTGTCCTTGTATTTTCTCAGCATGAACCTTAGGTTTTTTGGTTTGGCAGGTTTGGGTGGAGCTGCACCAATTCTATAAACGTTGGGTAGCTCCTTGCGTGGTGGTTCCATGTTCTTGTGCCCACTGGCATTACTGTTCTTATCCAATCTAAGTAAGCCTGTTTTGGACTGGTTCCCATCACTTTGCTTCCAGTGAGGAGGAACCCTATTAACAGGTTTCTGTTTTTGTTCAAACTTTGCTCTTGCCGATGCTACAGATAAAACCTTTTCCTCTGTGGGTTTGCCATGATCTTGACTTGGTGATGGGGTTGAATTTAGCTTCTGCGGTGGTACTCGTTTTTGTTCAAATCTTTGTCTGACAGATTCCACCGATACAGCATCATTGTTACCTCCATTTTGATCCGTGGAAGGGCTCACTGGAGCCCTTGGTGGCGGTGCTCTTTTTAATGTATTCCTGACCTGTTTAATGTCACTCAGAGACAAGTTCATGCCTACTTTGTACCCTTTGTAGAACAAAAAGAAAAACCTTTAGATGAAGAACATCACTGGTGGAATAATATTTTCATGGTAGCTCACAGAATGTATCCAGTGAGCTGAACTCAGGGCAAGCAAGACTTTAGGTATGGAGGAGCGCCCAAAATATTTGGAGACACTACCTCCCTTGACTGAGAAGCCTTTCTTTGGAGGAACAATGTGCTTCTTGGCTGCTACAGCATCAGAAGTGGTTAAAATGAAAGAGCGCAATCAAGTGGCTACAACATGTTACGAATGAAATTATTGATGTCTTTCAAAGTAAATGAGCAACCCTAAGTCTTCCATATTTGAGAAATTAATCGAAAATACTAACATCGGATCGCTTTTGCAGATACGGGAGGCTTACCTGAGGTAATGACCATCAGGGTTTTTCAACTAGAAACACAAATCCTACACCGGCGAAGGTAATTAAATTTTAAAATCTGATGCTTAAGCACGAAAGGCGACATCTAATTTCTCTCTGATGAAACTAAAAGAATATGTTGCTTGACTGAAGGTCTGAGTTACTCCATGCGAGTAGCCTTGCTTGCGCGTGACTTTGCCCACGTCTTTCTTTGATGTTGAAACACTTCTCAGGGGGCTGTCAATGTTCTAAATTGATTACCTTAAGAGCAAAACTTTATTTTCCATTTTTCAGCGTTTTCTTGATTTCAACACGGCTAATTTTATCATGCATCTACATTAACAAGAGGTAAGTGGGTCAGAATTTTCGAGATCTTAAAGGAACTTGAGGAGGGATGGGCCTTTGTCTTTTAAAAGGTAGGTTTATTTATGGTTCACTCGCTGTAAGAAGTTGACAGCTGTTTCTTTATCAAATTAAAAAAAATATTTTGTTTTGCTAAGTGAATATTCTTTTGTTTCCGCAAGAGTGTTGATTCGAAGCTTACTTTCGACAGACTTCATTCCAAAAGGGATTTCCCGTTTCAGAGCTACGACGGCGAGTCACTGAACTAAATTTTCCCGCAGTTAGCGTCAGTGGTTCGCTTCCATCCGAGATTGTTGTTGAGATTAGAGTTCTATTTTTGTACTCGTCAGAATACTGGCTCTCAATGATTCATGACAAATTTGCATTCTGGACTCACTGAAGCTCATCGGCAGAACATAATGCCCGTGAATAATAATGTTGATCACATATAATAGTGATATCAAACTTTTGTCGAAATCAATCGACCAGTGTTAAGAGTAAATTCTCATACCTGTTGAAAATTAACAACTTTCAACCTCGTGCTTCAATCATGACTTCCCAAATCGATTAAGGTCGGGTAAAGTACGTGTCTTTATAAAACTTAAGGTCCATAACTCCGATGTATTTACAGTCCTGAGAAGAACGTTTTTGTGACTCTCCTGTATCACCTATTCACCAAATCTTTCTTTACAGATCAACAATTGAAATAATGTTCTTAGGTGTACTTACTTTGTTGCAAATGTCGGCAAATCCCTTGCAACAACCAGTCGATCTCTGTAATCCTTAACTTTTCAGGTCGAGCGCCAAATGGAAATCGAAAACTACAAGTAGAATTTACTCACATAGGATTCAGACGGAACTGCAACTAAAAATTTCTAACTAGAAATTTGCATCATACGATATTGAATCGGCCGCCGGTGCTTTCGAGTCTACTGGGAAAACAATTTCGACAAATCCGGCGGCTTTTAAAGGAAGCGGAACTGACTAAAGTATCGACGACGAATGACGGCTTCATTCGTTTCAGTGAAGCGTTTAAGATGTAGGGAGGGTGGGGGGGGAGGGCATTTGGCCAATCCCGACTCCCGACACCGATAAACAAAGTAAGGTGTAAGCAAACATGACTTTGAGTTTACTGAAGTTTAATTAACTTTATGGATACAAGCTGTAGTCAATTAATCTAGTGTTTAAAATAGTGGTAAGATTGAGCTCGCAGCAAGATGAATTCTTCGTTTTTTTTTTTGTTTTTTTTTTTGCTATTAGCGATGGACTCTTGAATTGAAAAAGCAGGCCAAAGAGCTTTAGTGTTTTTTGTTTTTTGTTGTTTATTTCAGTTTAGCATTTCATTATTGTCTTGAACCTACGGTCTCCTTAAACGCTACCCCCCCCCCCCCCCTCCCCTTGACGAGTTAATTTCTGCAACGTTTATCGTGACAGAATCTCTTTTGCGTGACACTTAAAGCCCTATAGTGCTTGTAGTTGGATAGAATTGAGACAAGGAAGGTGTCTGATCTTTGCCAGAACATAGTCCTTGATACATAACAAAATATACACAATATACAGTCATAATATGTAATTGCTTCGAAATCTTTTTCAAGCTAACGGGGCTCACAATCAGTTCTAACGGGCTTTTAAAGAACCACACGGCTAAAAATAGTTGGCCAGTTTCAGGTTCCTTAAACGCGTATGTCAGTTTTCTAAACCCAGCTTAGATGGGATACTTTATGCGACAATAATTACCTGTTAAAGCTACTGCTACAAATTGTTAATGAGGCGGGTAATAGCAACGTGTTATAATTGGTTCCTTTTGAATCAAAAGTCTCTCTGATATTGATCAACCATGTACTCGGCACTCAGAAGTCTCAGATCAAATCCCGAGAGACGAAAATCATCATAATATTTCAGTAATCAAAACCAAATATTCTACAGTCAAGCGTAGAGTCACGTGGTCTACTTCATCGCTCAGCAGATGAGGCATCAACAACCGTGCCTGCTCAGGGTAAAGATTTCTGGCCATAATAATCTTACCAAAACTTCAGAGTCGAAAATCAAATTATTCTCAGATTAAAATAGCACTCGCCTCAAAGGATAATCGTAGATAATATGTTGCTTAATTCGATTTGATGCTAAAATGAAATTCAGTACTCACAAGATCTCTAAAGCTTAAAACTGTTTACATGTACTAGCTGTTGTAAAAAATATTGTAGTTCATCGAGGTGTTATAGATTAATAAATCGCTTGTCTCTCGGTGCAAGACTCTAGGCTAATCAATTTTATATATGTTGTATACACCTGTTTTCAAAAACATTGCGATTTGAAAATATATATGAAATATATACACCTTTTCTTTTTCATTAAAAAAGGTGTCGACAGAATAAATAGTGATTATGGGGACAATTTTTCAAAAGGAAAGTGCCATAGCTGCGGCCAAAATTTCCAAAGTCTTTGTTTCACCATCGAGCAATAACAAAAAAGGTATTGCTCCTTCGATGTGAAATATAGGTGCATCGTCCATCACCTTTTAAGCGAGAAAAGAAAAGGTCTATATATAAACTTATATTTTCAAATTGAAAACAGATGTATATACTAGCCATGTCTAGAAAATCACCTTTAATATTTCATCTACTTTTCTAAGACGAGAAAATTGAATTGGTCGCTATTTTTCTCAACCGTAATAAAGGGTTTAATCTATATTTCTAGATAAAGAGAACTCCCTATCAGAACTCAGCAATATATATTTCTTTCCAAGGCTATCGATTCACTTCATGAGTCTTCATTAGCCCCTTCAGTTATACTTCTGTTTGTGGCAGCACCCGGTCCAGCCTCTAGAAAACTGAATCATTTAAAACGTTTAGTTAATTACTACTTTTTAAAAAACATTTTTGCTTGATGTGAGAAAGGTCAACCAGCGAACAACAAGCTTTATTTTCTGCGATTATTGAGGAAGCAGGAGAATGGGAACAAAGGATAATAAATAAGTCTTTTTTTACAGGAACACACAGGAGGCCCAAGCTCCAGCTTAGCGATAATCATCTTGCGAAATAAGAGTCATGTCGAAATCATAACAGTTTGTATGGGAATATCCACGACCGCTCTTAGGAATAAAAAAAATACAGTCAAATTCTAAATAAAAATACCTCACCTTACTTCCACAATGCATCGCTTGTTATCTGACCACTTACTTTGTTGAAAAGAACCCATTTAAGCGAGTTGTCCATTTCTAGGTTTACTACATAAAAGAAGCCCAAGGCTGCACAACGCCCGACCCGAGAAGTGAAAAATCCAAGCTCAAAATGACCGGGCGGCCCAACACAGAACCCAAGTACACATATTGTAGTTTCATTACAATTCGCTATCAACTCAATCCTCCCCGTGAAACCGACGCTAAGCCGCACTTAGCACCCGTGGTTTTAAAACAGTTTATTGATGCCAAGTGACGGTGTGGTCCCCGGCGAGGCACAGTTGGTCGCGTCAAAGTAACATCGACCAGAAGGGCTCACGGCTTAGTTAGCAAAGGAGGCAGGGTTACCAAGCTGGTTTATAAGGGTCGTGTGTCGTGGTGAATATGTACTGCGGCTTAGCGTCGGCTTCACGGGGAAGATTGAGTTTGTAGTAAATCTAAATGAAACTGCAGTTTATGCGCTTGGGTTCTGCGTTGGATTTGAGGTCGCCCGGTAATTTTGAGCTTGGATTTTTCGCTTGCGGAAATGGAGTGCGCAGCCTTGGGCTTCTCGTATGAGTAGTAAACCTAGAAATGGATGACCTTTTTTTTATTCCTATGAGAGGTCGTTTATACTCCCATACAAACTTTTAAAATTTCATCATGACTCTTATTTCGCAAGATGATCATCGCATAGTTGGAGCTTGGGCCGCCTGTGAGGAACATAACCATTATCAGACCACCAAGAGGAACAATACAAAGGATGGTTTCAGATATTTCTCTTCTAAAAGCAACAAAAACAATGCACTTTCTCCCGTTACCTAGACTGCAGTTACTTTTGTCTCAGTTCTATAAAATAATGAAGGTGAAGAGTAACTAACAGCCCCGATAAACCTTAATTAGTTAAAAATGCCAGGTCGCCGGTTAATCATATAATTTTACCGTTTATGGTCGGTGGTTGAATCAAAGAGCTTAAATGTGAGTATCTCAGTACACTCAATAAAATTGGGTGAATGAAGTTGAGAGGAAAAATAGAAGACAGAGTACTTACTGCTACAAATTAAAACATAAGGATAATGAACTAATAACTGGTAACTTCCTTCTTATTATTATTCCTTCCCTTATTAGCAGTAAATTTCTGATCCACTACACTCAGCACAATTATTGAATATTGCACCACTGTGCAAGTGTACATACCGCTGTACTGCAGATGAAGGTGCTTGAACGTTTAGACTTGGGTTCTCTCCAGCCACACAAACGTGACCCTCCATGTTGACAGTGTGATTAAAATAGTTATTAACGTTTATTACTGAAATAAAGTATCAATGACACGAAATTGTTAGTCCGTATACGCATTGAAATCGTTGTACACTATTCAACACCACACTGCAAATAGCTCGCTGATCAGTTGAAACATTCTGATTAAGGGTGCGTTCCCCTTAGCAGCAAATCCATTGTCAGATCATTGCTACATTGATTCCACTCTGGACAGGGATTTATCAGATTACTGATCTTGAGGGATCTGAAAACGGATCATTGGGTGATCTCGGATCAAAATCACTAATCTTAATCCTTCCAAAAGAACGTATCCCAAGGATGCGTTCCTTTGGGAGGTTACGGATTAGGATTTTGTGATCCAAGATCACACAGATCACGGTGCATGAAAGGAACGTAGCTGATCTGATAAACAGTTACCATGACAGCAGGCGCGAAATCGTAGAGCGCGTCAGCGGAATCGCAAGCTAAATTTAAAAACAAAACAATGGCCTTCCTCTGTAGAGCAGCTGTTGTTTCGTTCATAGAGGAACTTGCCGATGATTCAATACCGCAAGAAGCAAGAAGTTGTGAAGATGAAGAATTTCTATCGTTTCTTTTGATAACTAGTAGGGAGATGCAGAGCCATGGCCCCATTGAGAATTATTTGAAACGTATCATACAACTTTACATTGTTTTAGACTTTCGATGTCATTTTCGAATGTCACCTGTTTGAAATGCCAGTTAGCTACTTCCCTTGGTCTGCCTCATGGACAAAGGAATAGGGGAAGACCTACCATTGACTTATAGAAGCAAGTATTGATTACGATATGGATACTTGGGAACCCTGAGTGCCTGCGATCAGTGGCCGATCGATTCAACATTACATAATAAAGTGTATTTCTTGTTTATAGCAGAATTTGTGGAGTGATTGCCAACAATCTTTCTGGTCAATATATGAAGTACCTACTTGTTTGAATTGAGTACCGCCGGGCAAAATGATTAATTTCGGATCCTTCGCCCAGAGGAACGCGTTGAGTCTGTGATTCAATAATCTTGGGTATTCAAATCGCGCAGATCAGTGATACGATAAAATCCTTGTGCAGAGTGGATTTGATAAATCACTAATCTGACAATGGATTTGCTCCAAAGGAACGCCACTGATCAAAAAAATTGAACCAAAGGAACGCACCCTAAGATTAATTTAAAATCTCTAAAAACATACCCGTTGGCATTGTTGTCGACGGCGGGAAAGGAATCAGTTCAGCACTTGATGAGCCAGTCATGAAGTTGCTGCCACTGTTGTGGTTATCCGCAAAGCGCTCGCTTGTTCCTGATAAAAGTGACGATTCCCTCACCGCTGGTTGATCAGACTCATCTAAAGCGATATACAGTGCAGTTTGGTATTTTTGGTTATTCATTGAATCTAACAAATGTTTAAGTAATTAAAACAGTATATTTGAAATGAGTTGAAAAATGATTAATCTCATTTTATATAGCATTATTTAGCTTACAAGAAGAGGATACAGTGCAAAGATTTCTAGATTGGAGATTTCCCACGAAGGAAATTAGGTAGTTTTATGTCTCTGATTTCTTAGTATGCGTTCATCATATCAGCCATTTTATGTCACAATAATAGGTTAACAGTATAGACTTGAAGACCAGCAAAGTTATTTTTACAAAATATTTTTTTCTCAACCTGTTATTTCCAAATTTTGTTGAGCTTCGGGAGATGAATATCCAAGCGGCTGAGGCTCAAAACTATTGCTTTCAACTTCTATGGTCCCTGATCCCCATCTGTGAATCAAACGTAGTCTGACGTCTGTCCCTGCTCTGGCGACGTTCACAAGTTTGAGGCTGGTTTCCTTAATTTCTGTTTGTTCTGAGAAGATCTGCAAATATTCCAGAGCCTTGCTGATGTCGTCTTTCTGCGTAGAATATAGAGTAACTTGAAGGTTGCCTGAGTCTCCGTCAGTTTCACTTTTGAATGAGACTGGAAAAGAAGTAATGGGAGCATTTTCAACAACCTCACTTCTTGACTCAGGAAGGACGATCACTGCTTCAAATGCTCCAATTGTAAGAAGATGTCCTCCAATGTGAACATGCGCAGTGGCCTCAAGTTGCAATATTTCCTCGCTTTCTTTGATCATCCAAAAGAGCTGAGAATATATTTCTTTCGACATATCGTACTTTATGTCATCTCTTGTCTGTTTGTTGATCGAGTTAGTTGGATCCTTTAGTTCAAATTGCACAAGGTGTGATGGATCAAACTTGGCGAACTTCAGCAAACTTACTGCAACATTATGGAAATCACGTAAGAAGCTTCCCTCAAAATCTGTAGGGTTTTTTATGATGTCTCTCAAAGAGACGGAAAACAAATCCAATCTTTTGTATAATCTACGTGCTTCAGTGCTTTGAAAGAACCCTTCCAGAAATTCCAACATGTCACCCATCATAACACCACTACCCCATCTTTGTATCCGCGATTCTTCTTGTCGGTCATCGTTGTTGTTGTTTCGACACAGAATCTCGAGAATGTAGCACACCTCATTCAGAAGTTTGAAAATATTATTTTCATGAGCAGCACCTTGAATGACTGAAGTAACGTTTTGGAGAGTTGCTTCCTCTGTTACTCCTCTTAATCCACTCGGTGTTCGTTGAATTTTTTCCTCTCGGAAGATTTCTTTAATGGCTTGGATGAACTCAGAAACAATGCATAGGAAACTGCTTGTAATGAATTCATCCTCTTGAGATGAGAACATATGCGTGCACATCTTTCCAACGCTCTCGGGTAGTCGCCTTTTCATCACAAGAACAGAGGCAAAATTCTCTGTTTGAGTTGCTGATTCCACCTCTCCTTTGGAGGTTGCGTTCTCAATACAGCAGTCTCTCAAAACTGCGCTACAAAGCATCTCTACTTCGCGACCAAAATATTTCATAAGGTCAGAATCCTGATGTCTTAAACCTGCGATTTTAAATGCCAGGTCTCTCAAGTGTTCAATGTGCATTTGCCCCCTCTCTTTCACCTTAAATTCTAAAGAAATATAGAGAAATTAAGTGACTGTTACTTGAATAGAACAAAATAGTGATCATGGTTCTTATCCGAAATCCTCTGTCCCCAACATTTGACTCGATGAGTAGGACACCTGACCACGTAGCTCAAGTCTTGGAACGGACCAACAATAAAACGAGCGAGGAGAATATGCCCCACAAGTTTGCAATAACATCTGAAAACAGTTAGACGGTCTAATTTTCTCGGATAAGGTAAAATAAACCATGTGCTTTGACTCCTTCATATTTGCCGTAATGGTCTGTGAAGTGCCTAGTGTTCTGGTCTTTTTGTGTTTCCGAAATTGGGAAATGTTGTTAAAAGACAAAATTGGCATCTAGCAAAGAATTTTCATTACAGGTGATTTTTGACTTACTTGAACGTGAAAATAAATGGAAATAACATATTTGCATAAGCCATTCAGTAGACATTATAATAGGCCAGTTGATCATTCCTATTCCTTTTGGCAGTCTTATCTTACAGGTAGAGTTTGGTTTTTGTTTTTGCGTAAACTGCGGTTTGCGGCTAGATATCGGTATATTTTCATTATGTTGCTAAAAAATAATTAATTACTGAGAAAATGACTCTACCCTATAAAAGTTGATCCCGTACAGGAATTTCCTGGAAATAACCCTCCTTTATAATTTTATCCATTTAATACCTTCTTTTTTAGGCTAAATCTATGTCGAATTCCAGATCAGGAAAATAGTTTTCAGTTTATAATTTAGCACGCTCGACACCTGTTTTCTTGGAGGTGATTTAAAATGTAAACATATGGTACTTTTCCTCTTCTGCACTGAATTTGTAATTGGATAACTTATACGACTAGCACGTAGCTCTTTTAGAGGCGGTACCTTGGGTACGCCCTTTCTCCTCCGAATTTTGTTTTTATTCTGCTGTTATGCAACAGCCTTCAAGGACTATTTTCTTTTAAGATATCTTTCAAGTGCGATTTTAATTCTGTTACTAAGTTTACTATAATTTTTATATTTTCAATCTTGTTTTTGTTTTGCCCGAACTTGACCGTAAGACCAAGAAATTTAAGCCAGAAAGACATTTCGTAAAGCGTAAACATCGCGAAGGTATCCACTTAGTATGCGAACTCCGTTCTGCGTAGCCCAACGTGATTCGTTATTTAAGTGTAAAAATATGACGGAGGTTAGAGATTGACCGCTCGGTAAGTGTCACCTTTATAAGCGGTGACCCACACTTCCCTCGAGAGATCAGAGCTAGTCCCCGTTGCAATACTTGCGTAATAAAAGAGAGAATAAAATATATAGTCAACTGAACGACGAGTGTCAGGAAATCCTTTCTAACACTTCTTTCTTTTTTCAAATGCGAATACTGGCTTTTCACCAAGAATTCAAACAGAATGTGAATTTTCCTCGGGAGGTAGCAAATTTATCTGTGCCATGGAAAGATAAAAACTTCCATTTTTATCATGATAAACGACCTCTTAGTCGCACTCAGACCATCGTCTATACACGTAGTCGGAGAGAAGAGACTTACCTTCAGGTTCTAGCTCCTCAAGGGCTCTTTTTAGATTGTTCGGATTTGCTGCATCCCCATGCTTTTCCCTCCAGTGTTGTATTGCAAGTTCCAGTTGTTCTTCCTCTCCTTGCCAACATGCAACAACTTGTTGCTGAGTTTCAACGGGTAATTCGAGCTTTTGAGCTACGGACTTAACGTCGAAAATTGCCCTCTTCACAGCAAGAACGTGTCTCACGTAGCCACACAGATCTGCAATTAAAGTTTTTTTTTTTCATCATGAAATAAGCATGCCCATTTAATCTACAGTTTTTTGTTTGAGATCATAGGAGATTCTTTTTTATCGAAAGCTTTTTTGTAGCAGGACTTATAATTAAACTTAATAAGATTGTAAGAGGCCACACATTCGCAAGTATATGGGCCAAAACAGCTCAAATTTAAAAATTCACTCGAATTACTGCAGAAGCTCACCTTGTTGGCAAAACTTGTTCTCGCGAACGTGCCCATATTCGCCTTTCACAAGGATCTTTCCATAAAAAATTTTGGAATTCGCGTTAGAAACTTGTAAAGGTAATTTGATCACATGTCCAGCATTCCACCAAGCAGTAGAATCCACCACAACTTTAAAGCATTCTTGCTGGTTATTTGCCGGTTTGTAATCCTCCCCGAGTTGAATTGAGATTGTTAAGATTTCCTTGTTGTAAATGCAGTTTTTTTCCTGTGAATTTCTACAGTCAATAGAAAGTTCTTCGAATCCATCTTTTTTGAGCCGCATTATGGCATAATCATCATGATCTCTGTAGTACTCCTCCTGGTACGTGTCTTGGCTCATGAACGCAAGGGCAAGCTCGTCAAAGGGGCATTGTTGCCGATTACTCTTGAGGAGGACAGACAACTTGTAGTTGAAGGGCATGAGGTTCAGTCGGGTCACAATTTCTTTAGTGCGTACCCATGTTAACCTCGCCAGAACAGCAATCAATGAAAAATGACTGACCTTAACTTTTAGTTCCTTCGTTTCAAAATCAAATTTGGACTTATCAGTGATGTCCTCCCAATTTGGCTTTTGGCTTTGACCGGTCCGAGTTCCATGTAAGACGAGGAGATCACCATGTGAATTCGCTCTTTTGCCGTTCAATGTGACCTCCACAGTGATATGGGTTTTGAATTTCTGGTCATTAGGTTGACAGTTGACAATAGGAGCAACAAATATCAAATCGTTCTGGAGACCACAACGAGCAATTAGGTAACAGTACCCGTAAGGTTCCTCCAAAGTAAGTTGGATGGTGACAGGATCTTTCACGGCTCCAGGAGGAAATGTCAAGGTAACGCCTTTTACACTCAGTGATGCTCCATTACTGGTTACGATTTTAGAAGCTGTGGCATCTTTGTTGTTTTCATCTAAAAAACAAAATAAAATGCTGGGCATCCTGTCTCAAGAAAGTCCAACGCGTACACAAAAATAACCTCGCTAACTTGCGATTTGATGCCACTTAAGTAGTTTTGAATCATAATCCGATGAACTGAATAACAAATTCGGTTAACTTTCGTTTCTCAGACGAGGAGATGAATAAAAAGTATGAAAAAAAGGATCGACTCGGTCGCGGTTGTTGAAAGGTGGATAACGCTACCCACTAGATAATTTTCTATCCGGTGGATAGCGCAGTGTCTTTTGTTAACCTCCGTTGGATAGCGCCATCTGCCCTTTGAACAAATGGGCCTAAGTCTCTAAAAGTTACATCCTGAAAAATAGACATAACTGACTTCCCGCTCAACTTAGCGACTGAGCTTCCCTAATTATTCTTTCTTGAAGGGAGGAGGGTAGCATCTAGATGATAATACATCCTAGTCTGAAGGACTTTGCTGAAGCCAGTTTTCGTCTGGTTACCTTTTCCAGGAGTCAATTCTCTATGATTCCTTTTTATCATGGGGGGTTCAACAGTGGTGGATACGTCATCGTAAATTTCTTCCATGGCAAGATATCCTTCCTCTTAAAAATAAAGGTAGTTAAATGATTTTTATATCTTGACGTAAAATGAATATGTGAATTCTCTCACCCTCGTTCCCCACTTTTTCTTTCTTGAAGGGTTAGGGGAACATCTGGATGATAGATGGTAACGTAGATTAGTAGTGATAATTTTAGACTTATCCCACCCAACTGTATGGTTGGTTAGGCATGCGTGCTCCGACAAAGCAGAATTTTCTTTTTTTTTTACAAAAGAAGACCGCCTTATGATGCTCTTTCAAACGTGTACCAAACTGATGATTGGTCTGTCCGAAATACTCGTGATCACAGTCACTGGACGGAATAGAATAAATAGTGTTGGTATGTTGTTCTTTCGTGACAGGATCCTTAGGTTTAGCAAAAATATACCCTCAAGTCTGAAAAGGTATTTGAGCAACTTAAACGTTTTTGTTATTCAAAATTCTCTTAGTGGGTTCCGTAAGGCCCTGAATGTAAGGAATAACAGCAAAACTAGTCGCTGGTTCCTTCTCATCGGGAGTTTTACTGGTTGTAGTTGTAATCGACGTTACCACCAGCGCCTTTGTTTGGAAGCCTAGCATATCAACTCCGCCCATGCTCTTTTAAATCGTGAAGACGGCTCCTTACTACCTGACGCCTATTTACACCTCGTCAGAATAAAGGGCAGCCAATTGGAGAGCATATAAAATGACCTCTTGTTGCAGCGATTAGATCACCCCTGATGAAGGCACTAGACAGGAGTGTCGAAACGTTGGGTCTACGAATTGTAACTTCTCGGTTACATTCATTAAACCTTTAAATCAGAGTATTATCAAACTATGTTTGATTGTCCACCTGGTGGACAATCAGACATATTATAGGTATCTTGGTTAAGATACCCAATTTCTCTCAGGTGGAACTAAAAACTAAGCGAGGAGTAGCCTTCCTTGCATGTCACTCTGCCCACGTCTTTCTTTGATGTTGAAACACTTTTCGGAGAGCTTTCCGTGTTCTAAATTGGTTACCTAGAGTGTAATCCTTTATTCTCTATTTTTTAGGATTTTCTGGATTTCGGGTTTTATTGCCCGGGCTTCCCTTATTATTTTTTCTTGAAGGGAGGAGGGTAACATCTAGATGATAGAATAACTTAGCCTGAAGGACTTTGCAAAAGCCAGTTTTCTTCTGGTTACCTTTTCGAAGAGTCAATCCTCTACGATTCCTTATCATCATGGGTGGTTCAACAATGGTGGATACGTCTTCGTTAAGTTCTCCGATGGCAACATTTTCTTTCTCTTAAAAAAAAGGAAGTTAGATAATTCTTATATCTTAACGTGAAACGAATATGTGAATTCTTTCGCCCTCGTTCCCAAGTTTTTCTTTCTTGAAGTGTTTGGGGAACATCTGGATGATAGAACAAATGGGAAGGAATTTTCGAAAACCAATTTTCTCCAGGTTACCTTCTCCAGGAGTAAATCTTACGTGATTCTTTGTTATCATCGGTGGGTCCGCAAAAATTCCCACGTCATCTTAATTTTCTACGCGAGGAGTATATGAATATAGAATGTCAAACAACATTGATGCTTCGATTTATCTTTCTTGATTGATTTGAAAGGATCAGAAAAAAAAAGAACAATCAAGGACCTATTGCTGCTGATTATCACAAAAGTCGTGTGTTGATATAGCCAATCAGCAGCTGGCACGTCACTTGCCTTTGGCGCCACTCGGTCAGGCTGATGAATAAACGGCAGAGCCTTCACGATTCTCACTACAAGTCGTTTGTCGGAGCTTTCTCGAATTATGGCGGCTAAAACACTAAAAATCCGTATCGCTGACAGACCGTGAGGTTCAGACTCTTCCCAGAAGGGGAAGAGAACCAATCTACTAACAGGAAAACTGAAAGTTACGTATTCAGTGGCTTTGGTGTTAGCATTTCTCTCGGCTGCGAATGAAAATCGACAACTGGAGGATTTCTAACCCTAAGCGATTTTGGCCATTTACCTGAAAGACTTCTTCTGTCGGTAAGGACAAATTCAATAGATGAGAATTTTTATATTGAAAATTACGACCATTGTTGTTTTTGTAATCATTATTCAACGCACTTTTCCATCTTAAGAGTTAGCGCTAACGCACTCTACGATTGTTTTTCGGGGATTGTCGATTCATTTATTTTCATTCATTAATGAAGTCGGCTTTTCTTCTCAGTAAAGGGCTATTGTGTTTATATGATAAACAAAATAATACATGGTTGCTTGTAGATATGGAATTTCTCTTCTCGTGTTCAACTTGACATCTCACTCGTTCGCTGCGCTCACACGTGAGCTATCGAGTTTAAACACTCAAAGAGAAATTCCGTATCTACGCGCGTCCATGTATTATTCTCTATTTATGCCCTTGTACTTTCTAGGCTTGAAGTTTATGTTATCAGGCTTCGCTGGCATTTGTGGAGCTGCGCCAATATCAAATAAGGTACTACCTTAGAGTAGGTAACTCTTTACGGATTGGTTCCACAGTACCCTGAAATGTAGGATTGATGCATTCATTGTGTCTTTGGGAGCCCGTTTTCGTTCGGTTCCGACCACTTTGTTTCCACGCGGGCCGAGATGTAATGAAAATTCCTTCTTGTTGTTCAAACTTTGGTTTGGCTCTGATATCAAAGCTGGAATGATTTCTTTCGAACGCTCGCTACCACTTTGACTTAATGATGTTTCTAACCGTTTTGGTAATGTTAGCTTAATTTGTTTAGTTGTTTATCGTGCTATTTTTCTCTTGACCTTTGATGGACATTCTTTGCACGACTCGAAGCCTCCTACAGTTCTCTTGGGGTACTCTTCCTGCCCTCGTGATTCTAATCTTGAGGAAGGGGAGAGAGGAAGAACGGTTACGCCTTATTTCAAAGCTATGGTAAATACTGATTACTATAGCTTTGAAATAAGGCGTAGCCGTCATTCCTCCTTCCCCTTCTCCAAGATTAGAATCAAGAGGGTAGGAAGGAGTACCCCGAGAGAACTGTAGAACACTTTAGTTAGATTTTCCAAAGTTTGAAGCTTAATCTAAAAACTTTCATGCCTTTCATAATACACGTACAATGCAAAATGACGGCTGGATTACCTTTCAGCGTGGTGTAGATGTTCGGACCGCATACGGTAGTCGGGATTGAGTAATCGTTACCAGACAGGAAAACCATCCCCTGAAACTTTTTGAGAAAGAGTTTCAAATATAGTGGTTTGGCCGGTTTAGTTGGTGCTGGGCCAATCTCAGACAAGGGGGGTAACCTTTTACGCCATAGCTCACTGGGAGTGATATTTCGACTCCGCTCCATATTCCAACGACGCGTCCGATATCAAACTATGTAAGTGTCTTAGTCATCCCTGATGAAGTGTCCACGCGAATCTAAGGGAAGAAAACTGAGTTTCCAGTCGGAACTTACATTTACCGTTTCAGTGCCCGGTTATTAATCGTATAATAAGAGATTTGGACAAACCTTAGATTGCAAATTTCAACGCTAGAACGTCTTAGTTATCTCTTCAAGATTATTTTGTTGATTTATGACTAATTTTTGGCTGTTTCGCGATATCGGAAATTGTCTCCATATCTTTCTCCCGGCTACTGCTCTCTCTTTATACCGTTCGTAATCACGAAGTTTTGGAAATCTCTTCTAATGTTATTCCCCATGCTTAAAATTAATCCGTCAACTCCAGTACCATTTTTTTTCTGTTAAACCCTACCCATTGAACCAAACCACCTTTAAAAAGCATCACTTTGGCCACGAACGTTTGACATTCGAGGACATGGGCATGGTGAACATGTCAGTTGCCGACATTTTTTTGAAAAAAAAATGTCTGGTCTCCTTTATTTAAGGCGAGAAGGTATAAAGAAATCGTGATGTCATGCATGAGGACGTGACCGTTAGAGCAAGGCTCTCAAGGACCTTTGACAAAAGTGAGAATCAATAATTATACAAAATATTATACAGATTATGAATTCATTACCATATTTGGTCACGCAAGAATTGGTCGTAAGGCGGGCGCCTACCACTAGTAAGGCCTACTCTGGGACCTCAAATCGCCGTAACTTTAGGTGACTTTGGGCAATTTAAGGCGACTTTAGTAAAATTGACACAAAAAATATTGCGACTTTAGGCGACTTAAAGCTATTTTATTTGACTGAAGCGATAAAGCCAAAGTTGGCAACAGTCTCTCCATAAACTTTAAAAATGTCTACAGAATCCCTTGCAATAAATACAACATTCGTTTCGGTTACTATGGTATGCTCATAAGTCACCATAGTCTAAAATATCTAGATTTCAAATCAATTTAGCTAAAAATGTTCAGACAGAATTACCACAACAGTTATTGTAAAATTATACAGTCAAAGCTATAGTAAATATGAAGACATGTTATCAATTTGCTTCGTCGCGTAATCATTCAGCCATGGAATGTTAATAGATATGCACACAGAAACCAACGATACGTATTCAACACCAGGCCAATGTTTTACTTTTCAGCCTGACTTACTACTGTTAGTATCCGCTTTTGTCAGTGGTCACAAACATCCTTTATGAACGGCTAACGAATGAGACCTAAGTTCCCAAAGCATTCCCTCGATTCAGTAGCATAATTAACTGACTTAAAAAATCACTACACTTTGGAAAGTTTTGATTACACAGGAAAACTGAAAATAAGATTTACTTTCACTCAGTCGGTAATAGGGCCAAGCAAGAGAAAATTCTGACAATTGCGTTCAGATGGTCTTAGAATTAAGTTCAATGATTGAAGTCGTCCCAGTTCAAGTAGATGGCGAAGATAATTCGAGCTGACTCGATGTTCACGCTATGGTGTTTACGATGTTGATGAGGCATGATTTACCTCCGGGGAATTTGAGTCAACATAAGCTTCAACATTTTATACATAAATATAAGTCATCTTAAGAGTCTCTAAAACCTTTACCCAATCACCTTTTTTGCATCTTTTTAGAACCGCCTCCGAATTTCGAAGGGTATACAATGTTTCAGCGTTAAACGTGTCGCCAATTTACAGTTCTCGACTCAAAATGACAAACATTGTCGACTTATTCTTGAAATGTGGTTGTGAGACTATGGTTACTGAAATAATTGTTAGACGTCAGTTTAGTACCAATAGTACGATTACTTTTGGGATGGATGATACTACCAAAACTATTGCGAAACGCCTCACTGCTAACGCAAGCTTAGGAAGACAGCATGACTGATGCTTAACTGGATCAGCTTACCTGTTTCCTTTTCTAAAAAAAAGAAGTAAACGCGATGTTTGCTAATCTTTGGACCATACGTCGGCCAATTCGGTCGGAGAGCGCAAGGCACTGAAAATTTGCATGTCTTGGCAGTCAATTGGACGGTTTTCTATCGATTTTCCTTTCGATTCGATGGTATAAAGGTTATCAGTCACTTTTCCATCGTGTGCGTCGGTGAGAATAAATATAGTAAACAAATTTACCCTCCCACTCCCCTTCAGGCAGCCAATTTGTGACATCCATGACTTTTCGATGATAAACTCTTTCGCCGAGTTTCCGCCACATTCTTTAACCTACATTGTACTTTGAACCGTTGTAATAATTATCATTGAATAAGTGCAGTATAACGTTGACAACAATTTAAACGCCAGCACAATTATCTTTGGGGAGGGAAGCCTTTTGACGTCAAAAGAGTATAAAGGAAAAAAAACGAAAACGAAAAACGAAAGCGAAAAAAAATTAACGATCAACGAACAGCCAATATAGCGGGGGGAGGGGGGGGTGTGTGTGGTCAAGACAAATTGACAAAACCTCTTGGGGGGATTAGTCAAATTTTTGTCTTGACGCAACTTAAGTCCTCTAACCCTTCCCCCCACCCCACCCAGGCGACAGATGATGACAGGTCCCTCAAGAAAGTCAGCAATTTTAATCCACGTCCTCGGAAAAAGAAACAGAGCCGTGTGAGTGCAGGGCCGGGGTGGGTTTTTCTGAACCGGCACACGTCAACCTGTGTGGCCGTGCGCTCATCGGCTTTAACTGTCGTTTTCTATCGGGCTGCACGCACGGTGCCGCACGCGTCATTTGAAAGGACTTATACCTCCACCTCCTGCCTGGCCCACTGGTCCAGTGCGCTCTTGGCCCTCTTTTCTGTGATTAAGGTTTTAAAACAGTATTGTTCTCTCACTCGGCTGTTGTTATTTTATTTTTAATTGTATATGTAAGACGTACTCTCATATTAATAAAAGTATTAAAAGCAATAATAATGACAACAACTCTAAAAATTGTAGGTAGTACATGGTAACACAAAGAGCCGTTTTCAATCTCGCTGTCACTGGTCGTTGCGTGACACATTTCAGTGGCGTGACATTTTAAATGTTAATTTCACGTGATGTCCAAATGTGTCGCCATTTTGCTTATTCACGTCATTCTCATTTACCACTTGTACTCGAACGTGATCAGACTTAACATGTGTGTTCCTTTCACGTTGTAAATCCCTTTCACGAACGGTATTGAGCAACTGGAGAAGTCGAGCATGATGGGGAATTTGCTGAGTTCGTTGTGTCCGTCTTGCGTGAAGGTAAGGAAAGATCAACCTCGCCGC